ATAAATTGATAAACTTTAGCATAAGAGAAAAAAATTTCTATCTCAAAATTTTGTCTATGAAATAGCTTTTCATGCTCTAATAAAAAAATTCTAACTCTAATGTCGATCAATCTAGGCCTAATGATTGAAAATGTGATAACATAGTGATAGAATATGAAAGATTATTTAATTTTTATTGGATACCGAATTGCAAAATTTTCATTGACTTTAGCCTATAATAATATATTCATAAATTTATATTTATTAAACTCTAACTGCTAAGGGAAAATATTACTAAAAACCTCATCCTGAATACAAAATTATTCTTCAGAAGTTCCTTTGCTTAAGAACATCCCGTATATTGTACTTCTGGCAACAAAGCACTAAAACTATTATGTAATACTGAAGATTTCTGTTTAATTGAACAATTTCCGGTTTGACTTTTCACCAGTCGGAAAATTAATGATACTTAGGCAGCACCTCTCAACCTGGTAAATGCGCAAATTTGCGTTTGTTAATATATAATATTGTTATCTTGTTATATATGTGTTGTAAGTGGGAATCGAATTTAAGTGAATTTGGAAAGGGTATAGGTTATCGCTATTTTCGAAAAATTTTTTACCCGAAAAAAATTTTTAATAAATCCCGCTATTCTCAACTATTTCGAAAACAGCGATAATATAGAATTTATTAACAAATTCCAAATACACTTAATTCCGTTTGAGGTTAATACAGGAGTAGAATTCTTCTTTTTTATTTTCTTATTTACATATGCAACATACCTCGAAACAAGATGAAGTGTTGATTCTTTTTGGATATTGTAATCCGATAAAGAACGGTCATCTTCAAGTTGTTTACCAGCAAAAATCAGACGTTGTTCATTTACCGGTACGCCTAAAAAATTATATTGAATTTTTATTTCGTCTCTTTTCCGAAACAGAATACAAATATAACAGATAAATACACACCTTCTTTTTCTTCAATTCTTTGCTTGATTATAACGACATTATCCGATGAATCAGCATCAATAGTGATTGTTTTACCAGTGAGAGTTTTAATAAAAATTTGCATATTTTAGACTAAAGTAAATTTTTTCGAACGTTATTTTATGTGCTTAAATGACAAGTAGAATTTTAAATCGTATAAACGTAAAAAACAATCTTAAAATTGAAACATTTATGTAATACGTAATAAATATAATTTTTCTTATTATCTCTTTTGACATCAATTTCGTACAAAAGGACATTTAATTCGTACAAAGTGAAGTTCAATTTCGTACAAAGTGACATTTAAATTCGTACAAAGTAACATTCCAAAATGACATTTAAAATAAGTCGCGATATCTCGTGATGTAGTAATCTAATATAGATGATTTTTGATCCTTTCGAAATGGTACCAAAATCATCTACATTGGATTACTACATCACGAGATAACGAGATTTAATCAGGCTTATTTAAATTGTCATTTTGTACAGATTTGAATGTCGCTTTGTACGAATTTAAATGTCACCTTTTGTACGAAATTAAATGTCCTTTTGTACGAAATTGATGTCAAAAGGGATAACTAATAGATGGTTTTTATACTTGCTATTTAAATTAAGGTAGGTAAGATGAAATTAACGAATAGTAAATATTCACGATCCTAAATATCCAGTTTTATACATTAGCCAAATTATCGCTCTTTTCGATTTAGTTGAATTGAATGATCGAGTCCTGTGATTACAAGATGGTAGTCACTTCAATTTCTTCTTATCTCATGGGACTCATTTTAATTATTCATATGGGGGTGAGTCAGTAGAAATGGGACAAATTTATTAGATAAATTTGTCCCATTTCTACTGACTCACCCCCATATATTTCCCTTTTATCGATAAATGATTTATAAACTTGATTTACTAATTTTAATTAAATAACAGATATCCACAGTTTAACAAAATTGAATTATACATAGATATATAGGTAATATTTTGGTATATCCTTCTGAGCCGCCACTTTACCCATTTTTTATAAAAAGGAACAACCATTTTTGTATGTACTTGACCTTCATTAGTATCAATCTATTTTGATTGGATAATTATGTTAACATCTGCTAGAATTAATAATAAGATGATTATTTATATAGCCTGAACTTAATTTTTTATTAATGTTAGGTTGATATTATTAAGTGTCAATTGTATTGTTCTGTATACACCCCTTTTTTGCTATAAGGTTGCTTATTTTCGGGTATAATCTCAACTAATAATTTGAATGATTTGATACTTAGTTACTTATTTCTATTATATAAGAGGTGCTTATTTTCGGGTATATATGAATTGTAGGGATGCTTACTTTCAGGGGTGGGTGCTTATTTTCGGAGGAATACGGTATATCAAGTGTAGCATCTTAGCATTAGCCAATATTAGTATCAACTATATATAACAATTAATAAATTTTACAAATATTTATAATTGTTTATATAGTTAAATCTCTATAATCACCTTCTATTATACTGTAAGCACATTTTCTTCATAAGCATATTTTTTTAAAAAAACAAACTATTATTAAATATAATAAAATTTGATCTTTATAATTGTCACACTTCTCAACAATCACATATTTTTTTGTATCCCAAGTGTTTGAGGTTTATACATCATTCTTAAATACATACGTATGCACTAGGATTCTGATTCAAATAACCGTGATATATTTGTATATTGATTCTAATACATGTCTAATAGAAAATCCACCGGATTTTTTGAATGGATCCAAGCACTAATTATACATCAAAGCAAGAATAAAATACAATATTGAAATTATATTTTGTATAATTTAATTGTAAAGGTTTAATTTTATTTTAGAAGTTATCCTAAATTATTTGTCTGAAAATCCTAAAATCTGAAAAACCCTACCTGCCAACTTTACTGTATGGGAATGCAAAACACAAACCAACAAAATTCAGCTTGTTAAACAAAAATAAAATTGGCTGAAAACATCAGATTTAATATATGTTCATAAAAAAAATTTTAAGATTTGATAAAGAATGTTACATATAGTTTTTTTTCTAGTAGAAAATGTAAGAGATGTTTGGTTTTAGATTATATAAGTGACGCTAGGGTGTTCAATAAACTAATTAATCAAAACATAGTTAGGGTCATTAAGTTCGGATTTTTTAAAGGGTTGTTTAACCTATAA